AGTCTTATTAACAAGAGCGGTGCGAGCATCGCCATGATCAATTTCAGAACAGTTTCTTCCTTCTCATACTCATTGTTCGTATATCCCCATCTCCCCACTCCCTCCCCTTGCCAGGCCCCTGGGGAATTATCAACTCACTGACTGTCTCTACAGACTTACCTGTTTTGGATTTCATATGCAGAAAATCATACAAAGCACTAACAAGAAGCAAACATAAATCCTCAACAATGATAAAAACAAAGCAGAGCAAAAACCTCAACTAAAAAGAAAGCAGACAATAGTAAAAATGGAAACAGCTTTAAAATGAGTTAAAAGGGAGATCAAATGATGAGGTGGTACATTGAAACCTGACTGCTGCATCTGCGTCATGGACTTTACAGTGCTCTCCCTCTGACCACAAGGCTGTTCTCATCCGTGGACCTGGTCAGAGGGTGTTTGCTGAAGGCCTTTTCCGTGTGGAGGCCCTAAAAATGGATTTGGTACGTTCACTGTTATCTGTAGCCTCTGCAAACGATTCAGAATTTAAGTTCTGACACCACTCCCTCCTTCTGATTTGGGTTTTATTATTTACTATCTTTGGATCACACAGGCGACTGTGCGTCTTCCCTGTGGACTTAGTTGATGCCTCACTTAGATGGCTGCTACTTTCCGACAAGCCTTCAGGCCCCAGATGCTAGTCTTTAAAAAAAAAAGTTTATTTCTTTTTAACAATTTCACAGACATACAAATCACATATCAGACACTTTCAGTAGTTCATACACGAGCTTTTTAGGCTCCCCACAGAGTCAGGAGCCCCAGTGACACAGAGGTTAAGGGCCTGGCTGCTGAGCTTTCAGGGTGGCAGTTTGAGCCTATCAGTGGCTTTGCAGGAGAAGATCTGTGACCAGTTCTTGTGAAGGTGGCAGCCTAGAAAACCATAAGGGCAATTCGGCTCTTTCCTAATAGAGACGCCGTGAACAATAACTGACTCAACAATGCACAATGACATGTATGAGGGGCCTTCAAAACATTCAGGGGTAAGTTTTATCATCTCTTAATCCTGTTTTTGAATGAGCTTTCTGAAGCCCCCTTCTATAGGAAGTCTTGCTTTCCATTCAGGAGATCACCTGTCTGTCTGTCCGTGAAGACATGTCTGTTCCTGTGCCACTGAGCAGGTCCAGTGGAGCCTCCAGACCAAGAAAGGCTAGGAAGAAAGGCCTGGAGACCAACTGTGGTAAATCAGCCACTGGGAGCCCTGTGGATCCCAGGTCTTCCCTTGTAGACCACTGTGATGTCAGGGCTTAGGGCTCTGATGGGATGTGGCTGACTGTGACAGTAGGGGGTGGGGGTGGCATGGAGGTGGCATGGCAGACCCCAGCAGAGTGGGAGGGCGTGGTCTCAGGTCTTCACCTGCACACTCTACCTCCCCCACTGGCACTCATCTATCTGAATGTCGATCCTTCTTTCCTGCTCAGTATTTTGAGGGTCATGTGGGAATCTTGAGAAACGCCTCTTACAGCAGCCCAGGAGCCCTGGCAGCTTCGTGGTTACGAGTTGTCTGACTAACTTCAAGGCTAGTGGTTCGAAACCACACCGCTCCTCTTTCTATTCTCAAGAAGAGTTACAGTCTCCAGAGTTGTGAACAGCCTCGCTACCTTGCAGAGTGCCCTAGAAAGTGGATGATTGCAGGTGCAGTCAGGTTCAAATGTAACACCTTCTCATTCTATCTCCCTTCTCACCCATTTTAAATTTGCTCTAGTTTTTAATAGTTTATCTTTTCAATTGAGGTTTTTCTCTGTTTTACTCTGTTGCTGTTGGTCAGGTTTTTTTGTTTATTTTTTGTGGGGTTTGGGCATGATTTTTTGTATGTGAAATCCAGGATACATAGATCTATAGAGACAGTACATCTATAGAGATCTATAGAGACAGTAGATCTATAGATCTATAGAGACAGACAGATCTGTAGACATCTATAGAGACAGTAACAGGGGTAATAGTGTTTTGGAGGTATGGCGTAGGAGGTTAGGGGGAAATGGGGAGCTACTAACCCTGAGGACAAGAAAGAAGAAAATGTTGTAAAATTGCTTGTGGTGATGATTGTACAACTATTGAATTGTGTGCCGTGTAAATTACATGCCAATAAAAACGTCTTTAAAAAGAGGAT